CAACAGAAATAACAGATTTGTCACAAATTACAACATAATTAACCAAAAAATCATTTATAAGCAGTGAAATTTTCTATGACTTAGTGTATCATAAGCTTGAAATTTCATCAAAAGTTTGGTAAAAGGCAAAGTTATGGTCAAGGTCAAGGGTGAAAAATGTTTTCCAAAGGAAAGACTTGTATTTATGAATATATCTGAAATACAAAAGCCCAAGAACCAACCATTTAAAAGTTATAACTAAGGTTAGTTACAGCTTTTAAAAAGTTGGTCAAACTCCATGGTATAGGTCAAAGGGATAAAATTAATAAAACTCTAGGGAAGGCCTTGTAACAAGAAATAACACCTGTGAAATATAAAAGCCCTAGCACCAACTGTTTAAAAGTTATGACCATATAAGTTTTTTAAAAGTAGGTCAAACTCTTATGTGAAGATGAAAGTCTTAAGTCTTGTCACAAAGAATACACTGTGAAATATGGAAGTTGTCATTCTAAATCTTCAAATTTCATTGCAAATATTAAAGTTTTTGTTGAAAGGAGACCAAACTTTAAGTTAAAGGTTAAAAAATCCTTTTACCCAAGGTAAGGTCTTGACACAATGAAAACGTATTACCGGTATATGAAGTGTGAAAACCGTAGCACCAACTGTTTAAAAGCTATGGCCTATGTTAAAGTTTGATAAATGTTTGCAAAAAGTGAGTCAAATGTCAAGGTCAAATATGTCAAGGTCAATGTGAATACAAATCAGGAGCAGAGAAACACGACCTCTAAAACATCAGAGGCGGAACTATAGAAAGGTCTTGTCACAATTACATACAAATCTGAAATATGAAACCCATAGCCAATCATAAGTTATGGGCAATTTTAAAGTTTGAGGATTTTTATTTGGGGGGGGGGGGGATTGAAAACCACCTAACCAAGCAAACTACCAATATGAAAGTTAATGTATTGTTGAGTCATTAATTTTTAAGACGGACATTTACAGTTTATTTCTTAGATTGATGGTTCTCATATCACAGAATACTTTTCTTCAAAACCCAAAGCATTAGTATCAAATGATATAACAGTCCTGAGTACATTGAAATACAATTATGATGTATGAACGATTTGAGATACTTATAGTTATCTCGTCAGAGTTTATCGTTCTTTGAGAGAATGGCGCAGATGACGTCCTGATAGATACCTGATTAAAGCAGCTTTCATAACCAACTTCTATTAACGTCAATCAAATGAAATAATTTCTAGAGACATGTAACCCAGTCGTACAATGACCATTTTGCTCAAGCAAAGAAATCACATGTATACTCTTTGTCATACAAAGACAGATATGACACTGAATTCAGATTATCATTACTGCACGACTTTCGAGATTTTGTCAAAGTGGCTAAAAAAGCCACACTGAGTTCATGTAATTAGTAGAGAAAGAGGCCATAGACCATATCACTCACCTGATTGACATTTCAATTACTGATAACAGAAAATGTAAATGAATCCTCTTAACGTGTCCCTTGACTTTTTTCCAGAACTTCATGTTTCCGAACATTTTCTCTACATTTAAGCCTACACCACATTCATTCATTTCAAGTGTTAGCTGTGTTCTCATTTAGAAAAATTCTAAATAATCCTGACTGAAACTTTGACTGCTTGCTTTAGTCCATACCAAAATTTGAAATTATTTAAAACTATATTCCGATGAATCGATTTTTCCCCCAAAGCAATGCTAATTATGGGCGTTTTTAATATATTTTCTAAAAATAGTTTACTTAACTCGCAATTCATTAAACTGACATAAACACAGATTTTAAGTAAATATTTCTCAAATTTTCATTATAAAATCATGACCTAATGTTGCTATAGCATTTCACATGGAAATATGAGAAAAAAGTAAAGTTTATTTTATCTGGAATTTATTGAAACTGCGAATTTCGGGACGAGTTGATTGACATACCCTGTACTTTTGCAAAGTAAATTTTATCCTTAATACTAAAGAAAAGTAGAAGTTTTGTTGTGTATTAATGAAATACATTAAACTATAATCCAGAAAATTCAGAGCAGAAATGTGTGCAAAACCAGTTCACTAGCATTGTCAGTAGGTGCTCGGTGAAGTACCCGTTTTTTTATTCGAAATTTAACAATGTGTACACCAGGTCACGTGATCCTCACATCAACGTTAGTGTTATGTTAGCTTGATGACTAGCTGCAGATCTGTAGCGTTTTATATATTTGTCTTGTTATGGTCCAAAGACAAATATATAAAACCATAACGCTACAGATCTGCAGCTACTTGATGACGCGACATCTCAATAAAGAATGCGAAAAAAAAGTTATTGACAAACAAATTGATGAAACAAGAAAATCAGCAGTCTCGTTTAAAGTTCTATGGTCGATACAATGACCTGTCAGCAAATACAATTATTAAATTAAATGCTGGCTGATGTTTGTCTCTATATGAGTGAAATATCCTCGAATAGGACGTAAGAGAACATCCAATCATTCAATATAACTGACGTTTTTTCATACTAATTGTAAGGCCATTATTGGCACACTGAATTGTCGATGGAATTTTCCGTTATTTCCCGATCATGAGATGGTGCACATGGTGGGGTAACCGATCGGCGGGGGATGCTCACTCCTCCATGACACTTGATCCCACCTCTGACGTTTTAAGGTCCGTGTTTGCGCTGCTTCAAAAAACGGTATTGTTAAATGGAATTTCAGCTTGAACCCTGTTCGGTTCTCCATATATTTCATTCTTAAATATTAAGGGTAATGTTTACTTTGTAAAAGTGTTAAATTATGTCAATCGAACGCGTCTCGGAATTCGTAGTTTTCAATAATGTCCAGATGAAGTTTTAGTTTATATGAAATATATATATTCCCGTATGAAAGTATTTCAAGACTTATGAAATACTTGTAAACATAAGTAATTTTGTTCATACATGTTTTAGGGGACTAAATGAAAGAAGTAATGTCTCATTATAAAATCAACATCACAGAAATACATCACTCTTATTTCATGCTGAAGGCCAACGCAGATTTTGCAAACAACGACTTCTATAATGTCTTAAAATCTTTTTATCATCATTATATTGATATCTGTTTGAAATACCTACAAACCCACTATTCAGCACATTATTAATTCAAAGTGAAGTCATCCAAATTATTTTCTCTTTTGGTTAATTATGATTATAACTTTTGAAAAGCTGATGCTGGGCTTTCATACTTCACATGTATATATTCATTGTGACAAGATCTTTCCATGGATATGATTTTAAAAAAATTGACCTCTTCGACCTCGGAGTTTGACCTACCTTTGGAAAACTTTAACCTTGGTCATAACTTTTGAACATTTTATGCTGGGTGTTTAATATTTCATATGTGTATATGTATTTCCTATAACAACGTGTTTCCTTTGATACCTTTAATTTGACATTTGACATTGACCTTGGAGTTCGACCAGCATTTATAAAACTTTAACCCTGGTCACAACTTTTTTAAAGGTAAGAGCTTGAGTTTCATATTTTGCAAGCATAGTCACTGAGACAAGTCGTTTAATTCTTTGGATAACATCATTTTCAGCCCTTTAACTTGGAGTTTGACTGGCATTTGAGAAACTTCAACCTTCGCCCAAAAGCTTTCAAAAGTGTTCCACAAACATATTTAGTTTTAAATATAAAAGTACACGGTGCAGATTTTGTATAAAAGATCCACTCTCTCCGTGTACTCTAAATGTGAAAGCATTTGCCCTTATAAATTAATATTAATGTAGTCTCGAGATTTAAAAAAAAATAATAAAGTGACTTTACTTATATGCGAGTATGTTATCCGTGTATTAATAACGAAGCTGGCATTACAAAGTATCGACTTCTTTTTTATTATAAAAATCAAAAAGACCTGCTTAAAAAAAATTAATTATCAAGATTATGTGTCTATTACGCACGAGAAATATGAGAAACTTAAACCTTTTCATGATATATTTATATTAAAAATTAATCCTAAGACATATTTCAATCATAAGTAGGTTGAGACTACGGTCAGCAGACAGAGAAACACGCGTTTCCCAGATTTTGAGGGAAAATAACTACGTCTGTATTATTTCGTGTTGAGTTCCTTGCGCAATGTGTGTTCTGTAGGTTCTAGGTAATTTTTAAATTTGAATAAATACAAAAGTCACATTAACACGTTCATCTAAAACGAAAGAATAAATAAGTTTCTCTGAATTTTCAAGAGAGCAATTGCTATTAAACCGATTAAGTAGCCTAATTTATCTTCTATCATAATGTACGTAATGATTGAACAAGGAAGATATAATAGAACATTTAGTCTTTGTCAGTTGGGTAACATAGAAGATGAATTCCACTTTGTGTTAAAATGTCCACATTACAACACAAAACACATTAAAATCTGCTCCTCCCGAAGACCAAGTGTCTTCAAATTGGTGCAGTCACTTAGCACACAGAATCTAAAAGAATTATGTAATCTAGGAAAATTTTTGCAGTTAACAAGTGCATCAAGAACAGCCTCTTTAACAAAATAAATCATCGAAAATATTATACGTTTATTTCATATTACATGTGTTAAAATGTATGACTGTAGATATTGTCTGTGAGATGCATGTCTTTTGACTTCAATAAACTGAAAACTGAAATATTATCACAATGTATGATATTGAATCCATTATATTTAACTAAGACAAATTCATGCGTGGTCTTTTACATATCAAGACATTTTCTTATAAGTACAATTCGATTTTTTAAAAGTTCTAACCAGATAATCGAATACATTACACTTCATTTCTCGTCCAAAGAGACTATTGTGGAAAACAAAATCAAATGATGGTTTTATCGTTAGAAATATTAAGAATGACACTTTTGATATTTGCAGAAATGCTCTTAATCTGGGTTATTTCATTCATAGTGTGAAAAATTGCTTTTTGATTAAAATATCTGATAAAGCGGACAGAAAATATCAATTTATTCTTGTAAAAAACTCAGCAATAATCCATTTGTTACAAATATATTTATTGATTTCCCATAAACATGGCTTATTACACAATAACAAGAAAAATCAACAATTCCATTGAGGACCATTTAGTTTCATCAAAAAACAATAACAAGATGAAATATTGAAACTTCTTGCAACAAGCACTATCCTGGAACTGGAATGTATTTACTGTTCAGTTTATTACATTTTGATCACACGTGTTCACGTGAAAGCAAATGACATTTTAGTTTCATTTATCAAATACAAAAAAAGTAGGAAATATCGATAAATTGCAACTACGACACTCTCATATATAATTCTTTTAAAACCTGACATTTTAATGCGATAAAATTTTCAAACTACAACCACAATAATTCCTAAAACAAACATTTAATACAACGAAATGCTCTAAAACCTTTTTAATCTAAGTTGAATATAAAATTCAATAAAAGAGTATCGTTTTACAATCGCAGATTATAACATGTATTGTGAGCACAAAATGTAATACCAAATTAAAAAAAAGAAAAAAAGAAAAAAAAAGAAAGAAAATACAAGTAGAACAGGCATCACATTTGAATTATTTAAAAGCTGTTCTCCCATTGTGGATAAAGAGTGATCTATATAATTTTCTCCAAAGATAACGAAAGGCGCCCTTCTTCTTGACGCGATAAATACTTTAAGAATTTTTTCTTCTTGCCTGCAAAGAATAAAGAAATCGATCAAAAAGAGCAAGGAATGAAATTACATTAAAGATTGTAATTATCACAACTTAATGATCTTAAACCGATGAAGAATAAGATCACTTTTTGCGAAAGACCGTGATTAATATGTTCCTGCAGGAGAAACTCTTGGATTGGTAGTTATTTTCTATTCAAAGTCTATAATAACTTACAATACTTAGGTTACAAACGGATTAAAAAGTGTAGTTACTTGATCATGCAAGTCAGAGAAAGAAAACAATCACGGATTGTCAAACACACTTTCATAATTTCATAATTCTCTTACACCTACATGAAAACTAAGACAATTTGTAATTTGACGTACAATGTATTTCATCGTAAGCTCCAAACACTATAGTACTCTGTGTTTTATATAAAAAAAAGCTTTTAAAATTGTCAGACATTAAAAATTTCATAGCAACTGACATTGGGTACACAGTTTAATATCGAAGATACTGAGAGAAAATGCAGTACACAATTCACATATTATTTCTTTTTTCAAAGAAAGGATCGAAATCTTGAATACATGTATTTTTCAATTGTTTAAGCAATATATGTTAGGATATAAAATCTGTAATAGCTTATGTTTTTATGAAAAGGAGAAGAAAAACAAATTAGAAAATTTCACATAATATAATATAATGTCATCCGTGCTTATCACTGATATGATGTACTTTTCATATTGGAGACAATGCAGGTATTGAGAAGCAGACCAAGATAGGCCCTACTTCCACATGTACCTGACGTTACTTATTTTTATTTTAAGAAAAAAAAAAACCCTACCATCTTGAATTTTTCTAGGTCGGTCACACCCACTTTTATATTCGTCTGAAACTCCATAAAATAAATTAGGGAGGGGTATATTTTCTTTTATTAAAAGAAAAATAAGTAACGTCAGTTGTCTGTGCCTACTCCGTAAAAGCAGACATTAAGCTTCTTATGTGTCCATAAAAGATTCTTCATAAACGAGTCTTTTGAGGAGTCGTCATGAAAAAAGGTGAAGATAGATCGATCTCAAAAAATCTACAAACAATACAAATCAGAGAGGAAATTAAAAAAAAACAACCAAGGACCCCCGGCAAATAATAAGTTATATTTGCTAACAAAGTCATTATATTGACCACAGAATAAAGAAATGCACGTTAAAAGAGATTGTTAAAATCCCTGTAACATCAACTTATCTGTCAGTATCTTGTCTGGATACATCAACTTATCTGTCAGTATCTTGTCTGGATACATCAACTTATCTGTCAGTATCTTGTCTGGATACATCAACTTATCTGTCAGTATCCTGTCTGGATTTAAACATTGATTGTACTCGGAGTATGCTTTTGACTATCGAATAATTTTAAAGATGTAACACCATTTCAGGTAATAACGGGATATTACTATACATGGATAAGCAATTAATAGTTGATGATGATGGAGTTTGGGTCATCTCGGTTGTGACGTAATTTAGTTGTACATGTAAGTTGTCCCTAATCTTCTATAGTCAGTAAAACATCTCCTAGTAGATATAGATGTCACGTGACTTAAACAAGATGAATGCACGGATTTTCGCTCTGCGTTTTTTATCTGGATAAACGATGGAATATGTTACAAATACTTCACGAATGATGGTTAACTTTCTACCCAAGAAGTTTCTGTTGTACATATAATGCCTAGGAAAAATAAAAGGAAAAAGGATAGAGTTAGTAGCGGCAGCGATTCTCAACAAGACCCCAAACATTACAAGATCGAGAGTTGTGATCACCGGTACACTGATTCGGTATTGGTGAGTGAACTTATAGGTCAGTCAAATTTTGTATTGTATGAAGAAAATAACGACCCGAACAGTAGTGTCGGAATCGCTAACTGCGTTTTTTCTGAGCCTGAAAATACCAATCCAGAATCTCATTTCGAACACACAATTATGGCTACAGTTAGCAAAATTACATCAAAAACAGGAACTGACTTTTCAATATCGGAAAAACTAGATAAGTTATTGTGTGTGGTGTATGATTTAAAATGTAGCCAGGACAGTATGAAACAAATGTTCGAATCAAAGCTTGACAAACTTAAATCTGATTTAATTCATAATATCGACAGCAAAATAAAGGCTTTGCGTGAGGAACTTTCTTTTGATATTGGTAAAGGAAAAAGTTGCACAGATGAGATAGTGAACACTATTCATTCAATACAGAGCCGTTTAAACAGCCTAGAAGAACAAAGCCGTCACACAATACCTGCGACTTTAAATGCTCACGATGGACATACAAATCCGTTAGAAAACCATGACATTACAATAATAGCCAGTGGAATACCTTTCGGTGAAAATGAAGACCTTGTAAAAAAGGCAGAAAGTCTCATTTCTGCTCTAGGGGACAGTGTCTCTGAAAGTGTCCAAATAACGGATGTATCTCGTCTACCAGCACGTCTTGAAAATAGACCCGGTGTAACGTTGAATTTTGACCCGGGTTGAAAATTGACCCGGGGGTCATTTTTCAACGTTGAATAGTGAGACCATACGTGTTGAATTTAGACCCTAGTCCGTTGAAAACTGAGCCGGGTCGTGGAATTTTGATCATGAAACCGGTTCAAAATTCAACAGCATAAAAACACATATTTATGACTTGGATTTCAAAACTGTAATTTAATTCATAGGCGTCGGGAACGGGAGAGGTGGGTTAGGGATTCTTAACCCTTTTTTGCAAAGATAGACATAATATAGACATTGAACAATTTGAAATTGGATTAGTTCCCCCCTGCTTTCCACAGGCACGTTACAGTGCAGTAAAAAAAGAAGAGTAAGTGGTAGTATTTAAAAAAAAGATATTGGATCCAACTCCCCAATAGGATTTTTGGGTTTGGACTACTAGTTTGGACGACGATGGACATTTTTTTTTCTTGTCAATTTTTTTTCAGATTTAAATTTTTCTTTCTTATTCAATTAGCCCCTTCACCCCCCACCCCCACCCCCTACCCCCCCCCCCCGCACTTTCAATTTCCTTCCGACACAAATGTAATCAATGCACACTTAATTCTGTAATTCAGTTATATTCTTAGAATGAAATATTAAAAAATATATATCTTAGATTTCAAAGCTACATGTAGCTTAATATTCCAATATTTCGTGTAATACTTATTTAAAAAGAAGTACATTTGTATATGTAAATCCTGAATATTAGTAAACAAAGGTAAATAATATACAATTTAGTTCATAAATTTGTTAATTTATAATTTTTTTTTTTTGGCTAACAACACTTCATTTATTTTAATTTTAAAATTTCTAATATTTGTATTTGGAAAATGGTGAGAGTTTAACTCATGATGCACGTGCTTATTTAGTTATGCTCAACATTAATAATTTGTAATGTCCAACTTGAAAAACGGAATTTTTTTCAAAATAAAAGGTTTAGTGATCTTTTTCGCATAGTTAATCAAACAGTTATAGAACGAACCTCACAATTGATACATATTTATTTTTTTAAGTAGAGGATGTAAAAGGGGGGTTATCTCCCCTTTTTGGGATTAGTACCATATGAAGAATGTGTTTGTTTGTTTTGTGTGTGTGTGTGTGTGTGTGTGATTTTTTTTGTTTTGTTTTGTTTTTGTGTTTGTGACTGGGCTGTTTTCTTCATTTTTGTAGTTTTTTTTTAATCAAAAAATGTTTGCCTTAGATACACAACACTAACTTTCAGCGTTATTTAATATTTGTAATAAAGTAGCCAAAATAAAACATTGATCCCCCCCCCCCGAATCGGGGAAACACAGGATAGTTTGTGAGGAATTTTTGAAGCTGCCTTTTTCATCCAGTTAGAGAAACATGGTTTGGTTTTCAACATTAGCTAGTTTTCCTTTCCATTTTTTGTTTGCTTGTATGTTTATTGCGTTTCGTTTATTTATTTTGTTAATTTTTTTTTGTCACAAGATTTCAGAGGATTTTAACACCATACCCCCAGCTCCGAGAAAAACATTAGGATCTCTCTCTCTCTCTCTCTCTCTCTCTCTCTCTCTCTCTCTCTCTCTCTGTTTCTTTGAAAAGGAATGCGCTTTTTAGTTGTTTAGATCAAAAGAAGTTGCAGAGACGGCGTCTTTTTAATTGTTGATAAAAAAAAATGGTGAGAAGTGCTGCTTCTAGTCCATCTCAGATTCTAACTCTAGTTCTCATTCTCAAGGTTATGCTCCGAAAACGATCGATTTTTAGGCCGAGACGGGCTACTGACAGATAAGTTTGTTACAAGGATTTCACCAACCTTGTTTAAAGTCAGCATTACATGTTATGGTCGCTATATTAATCACAAATATAACGTATCATAGGATTCAATTTGACCGATGTGTTTCGGTTTAATTTTTAGGCTTTTAATTTTGTTAATTTTTATACTGAATTTGACCAGATGGGATTTTCTGACAACCTGATCACTTTAAGGTTTCGTCAAAGGTCAACATGTCCAAAAATTTATTTTTATAATAGCTCCAAAACTATGTGAGGTATAAAGTTAAAACTTTTACAGTTTATAATTTTTTTTATTGATTAACAGATAGAAAGTATCACTTGAAAAAAAACATACTTGGAAAAAATATTAATTGAGAAAAATTCTTCTTAAAAATGCACATATTTTCAAAAAGTACACCTAATTAATTCCGCGCTCTAAGTGAAAACCATTATTGCAGAAACAAAATATGTTTATCAATGAAGGGCAAGTTGGACTTGGATAGCCATTGGAAAGTTGTTTTCCGTTTCTTTTGTTCAAATGTTAAGACTTGAAAATGAAAGTACATTGCAAATGGCGGATTCTATAGGGGTCTTGTCTTTATGCATGTCATGCTTTCAATAACAGCCTTTCAGAGACCATTCTCGTCCAACTTACCCTTCAATGATAAACATATATTATTTCTGCAATGATGGTTTTCACAAAAAGAAAAAAATTAAGCAGGTGCATTATTCTTTAAATATGCACATTTTCTGATACAATTTTTCTCAAAAATATCTTTTTAAAAATACTTGTTATCAAGTGATACTTTCTATTAATCAATGATAATTTATAAACTGTAAACGTTTTGACTTTATACCACACATAGTTTTGGAGCTATTGTAAAAATAATTTTTTAGACATGTTGACCTTTGACGAAACCTTAATATTATATACGGCTCACTTTCTAGTCACCAGATTTCCAGAATTTTGGTTTTATGCCCCATTCATGGTTTTGTACATGTAGTTATTTATGGATGTGGATTTTTAGAAAATATTGTCAAAAATAAAGTTGTCATGCTTGAAGATAACTGAAATCGTGTATGAAATCAAAATGTACATATGTACACGGGTTTATTTCTATTTTTCTTGAAAAGGGGAAAAAAATGAAACCGAAATATAAATATAGAGATACTGATAAATCCCGTAAAACAACTTCCAAGTTCAAAAAATGTTCAAACTTTTAGGTGGGGTCAAAATTCAACAGGGTCTATTTTCAACTCGTTGAAGTTATCGGCCATAAGAAAAATAATTTCAAGCTGTTGAAAAATGACCCCGGGTATAAATTCAACGACTTTTGGTCTCAATTTTCAACGTTGAAAAAACACCCCTGGTTCAATATTCAACGTTGAAAAATGAACCTCGGGTCAATTTTCAACTGGGGTCAATATTCAACGTTACACCGGTCTTGTGAAAATCAGCTTCCGCAACAAAGAGGAGAAAATTCGTGTGTTGAGAAAGAAGATAAAACTGAAAAACTGTGAGTCTTATAAATCAGTGTTTATACGAAGCAGCAAATCCAGAATTGAGCGTCTTATTGAAAGCAATGCATGCGCAATACTCCGTAGCCTTCCGCAAGAGCAGAACAGATCACTCCGGGTGGATGCAAATGGACGCATTACAAACCGTAGCCCAACTCAACAAATTAGCCACGAAGACAATGAGGCATAGTCGTAATATTCCCGACGTAAAAGAGTTCAGGAGTGTATTATGTACAGGTTGAGATTTATACCCGAGCTGTGATTGCAGAGATGTACTTTTTTTATTTCATATTTTCACTACGTACCCCACTGGACTACTCATTAAGATAATGAAATCCATGAACTTTCTCCAACATTGACTGTATTCAACGCAGAAACTTTTATTTCAATTGACATGTAGTTAAGAATTCATATATTTGAAAACCGTCTATCTGGATAAATTAAACCAGGCAATTAATCCATATGTTAAGATCACGAGATGTATATTAGAGCTAGAATATGTATATTTCTTATAAGGTGACCTATAGGCCCAACGGGCCGGGTGTTTGTATTTTGATGATATTGCACGATTGTTCATGTTGTTTAACACATGTCACTATAATAAATAAATACTACTATAAAGAGTTGACTGCGGCAGACGGTGTTGTGTCTTTCATTTCAAGTTCACTGGGATATACGGGTTCGCCACATTGTAAGGGGTTGTTCAAATGAAAATTCTCAAATCTGAATTAAGCGTCTTTTACTTACATATTTACTTACGAGGTGTTATGAATTTTTTGACTTATCACTGGATGATGCATCATTTGTCTGGTTTGACTCTGCTTTGTTCTCTTTATCGGATTCCTTGTCTGCCTCGCCACTATCTTGTGACATTTCTTCCTCTGTGACAACTGGTTTTAAAGCCTGGCTTCTTGCTTGAGTGTTTTGTTCATTTTGTTTTATTGACGTCTGAATGAATCCAGGAGCAATTTTGCCAAGATTCAAGGAACTCTGAAAAAATTCACAGTGACATTGACTTATCGCGTAACTTTGTTTTCAACCAATAATGATTTTTTTAGTCACAAGATATAATTTTGAAGAATCTTAAATACGGCAGGTATTTAAAAGTTATTTCCTTTGATTATTCACGATAACTTTATTTTTGAGTCAAAACAATTTCGAGGGACAACTAAAAAATTAAGTCTCAAAATCAAAATGCTGAAGTCGTCAAATTAAAAATATGCAAGTTAGTCAACAAACTGTAAATGTTTAAAAACAATTGCCACATGAATCTAGAATTATATAAAGCAATTTTCAGTTTTGTCATCTCTGTGTATAAATTTGTATATACTTCACATTATTAGCAGTACGTTTTATAGATTATACTAACATCAGAAACGAGTAATTTGCTTGGCTTTGGTAGTTTATTTTTCCACTCTATATACTCAGGCAGGTCTTCCAGTCCGCCCTCTGATATCATATCCGTCAAATCTACGTCATTCCCATCAGGAAGAGACGTAATATCTATAGTTTCTTCTGGCTGTTCGGGAACCCTTTTATCTAAAGGGACCGTCGACTTTTTATCTTCCTCCTCGACATCTTCATCATGGGACACGCTACTACTCGTGTCTTCACTTTCAGATTTTCCCCCGTATTTCTGTTTGTAATAATGAGCTAAATCCAATTCTTTACTTTCATCGGAACCTTGGGAAGATTTTGAAGATTTGTCGTACTTATTCTTGTAGTAGCTTGCATCATGTGATTCTGAGCTTTCCCGAGATTCCTCTGATGAATCTGAAGATTCTAAAAAGGTAATAATTTCATGAATTCCAAATTTTATCTATTTTTTGGGGGAGGGGAGGGGGATAAAAGAAAGGACATTTCAGAGAAGACGTTTTGTTCTAAAATCAACAAACCACTCGAATCTCCTAAGGCCTTATACATGTCACCCCCTTTCTTTTGAACTCGCTTTGGTTGCTAAAATGAAAAATACGAAATTATTAATAAAGGACAAATAAAGCCTGATATATCATTGTCTGTAGTGTCATAAGATAACCAAATAACCAAACTTCATATCAATATTATCTTGTTAGAGTTTTAAACATATCATGATTACCGAAACCAACTGTGCAGGTGGTAGCTGAAAATCCATATTCTTTCTTTCTTCGTCTGAAAAGCAATAAAATGAAAGAAAATAAAGACATAAAAGATGGTATTAACTCCTTCTGAAATTGAATATATATCTCCAAGAGCAAAAACTACCTGTCAAGATTTTCACCACCATCATAAATGATTCGTTTCTTTAATTTCTTTGTAATAAATCTATAAATACAATCTATAACTCTATATCGCGCAAATATGTACTTCTGGACTGAGCAGATATCGGATGTCCGCTAAGCTACCTTGAAGGATATCCATGATGATATCCGGATGGTCCCTCAGTGTTATCAGCACAGTCCTCAGTAAGCTGTTTAACCTCTCTTCTTCTGCGCTCTCTTTATCGTCTTCACTAACTTCATCCCCAATGATGATTTGACTTGGTGACTGTTCGTCGCTGGATTTATTCTGTTGGTCTGCATATGTCCCTCTCTCCCTACTCGCTGGCTTAAGTTTGTATAGATTTATCTCGTCAATATCATCCTGAGGAAAAAATATATAATTATTATTTAAATAAATAATCTTTTTTAAAAAAAATTTCAAAAATAAATCTATTACTAGTAATTATTGTTTGCATTCTTCTGATGTAAAACTGACAACTGATAAGTACTCATATGAGTAGTTGCAATAAGTTATATACAGTATAGGAAAACCAAGTTGTTCCGTTTAGTTATATACTTGCCTTGTCTTTGGTCTCTACCGGTGCTCCATATAAAACTGCAACTAAAATTAAAAATCATGTAATGTTATAAATATGAAAAACGAAGGCAATATAGCAATATCTCAGCATTTATCTATTAAAAAGTACATGTAACTTCTTTTTGTGTAAATATAAATTTTGTGTGAATTTTCTATTATACATTGTCATACTCTACAGTAATCTAGTACATATTGTCATATTCCTATTTTTAAAGAGTGTTATAATGAACATTCGCAGAGAGACAGATTATTAAAGGTGCACCATGAAAGACTAGACGTCTTTTAACCAGACTACTTGTTTGTACTTATAACAAAAGAAGCGAAAAGATGCAAAATAACCACTTGGACTTGAAACTATAGTAACAACTATAAATAGAGTAATGATCATTAAATAAGTCTCTTTGTGAGACAAAAATTATTGCAATCAGACTAAAACTGTAGGAGGGGAGGCGTTCTGAAAGACTTTCAAAGAATATTTTATTTTTAGTAATCATGAACACTATCATTAATATAAAAAAAATCGATACTTAGAATTATGTATCTTAGTGGAGTCTACTCAAATCCAAAGAGTTTTTAAGTGCTGTAGAGAAGTAGTGTTCTTTTTAAAATTTTGACAGAAATTTCTGTTTTTAATCATCATGGCTGTTTTATTCAAAGAAATCACCCCCCCCCCCCCCCAAAAAAAAAACCCAAAAAACGCTGAATAGAATCATTATGAAATTTAGTGTAGGATATACGGGTACTTCTGTAAAGCGACTTAACTGAAAACAGATCAAAACTGGATTATTGTCATTTTTTCTATTACAGACTGACACATATAAAGGCAAACGGATGGTGGACATCTTTTTTATGGCATAAGCTCTCCTGGATTCTCAAAAGTAGAACTAAAAATATTTAGGTATAAAATTAGATGAACTTATCATTAGTTGCAGAACTGTAGCGTTATGGTTTTATATATGTCTTTGACAAAATGTAACAATTGTTCTCTCTCTCTCTCTCTCTCTCTCTCAAATTACGTAAATAATATTTTCTACATTCAAAGCAAAATGCTTCGAATTATTTGCGTTGCTTTCATTAAGCCTATGGGAGTACTTTTCACTTACGGTTAACAATCCTGCATCAGAAAACAAGCCTGAAGGTTAAATACTTTAATTGCTTTTGACTTTTATATCATGAACATTCCATCGTTTCTTGTGAATTTACTCAAGCATCTAAATCCCAAAAGCAATAAAAATTCAAGAATTTCCACTCACGATTAATTTGCATTTTAACAATGAAATACTGAGGTAATAGATTTTCTAAAAATGAGTAACAGCTGATGGCTTTGTACTAAATTTTTTTTTAGATCGAAGAATAATTAAAATCGGTTTGCTCGTTCCATCGCTCAGCAACAACACGAGAGAATGTTGATTATACATGTATTGCATTCTAATTCAAAGCAAATAATTTAACTTTAAATCATCGTATACGTTTCCTGTCATAAAGTTTAGCTTCACAGACCCTACTTAAAGCTTCCACATATTTACCTAATTTATCCCCCCCCCCAAAAAAATCATAATTATTGTAGGATGAATATTGGCACTACATACCTTAAGATTCACTTTGAAAATAAAGAAAACAATATCGTAAGCTATTAGAACCCAAACACTTTTTTTAACAATTCAAACTACACGACATTTTAAAAGCATGTTTCACAAGACTTTACAACTGCAAATTATAGTTTCATGCATTCTTTCATTCACTCAGTCTTTTCCCCCTTTACGGAGATTTCATGATGCATACAAATTTAAAGTATCACAATTAACAAAGAACAAAAATTAAAATCAAAAATAGATGACACACCTGAAAATAACAAAAATGAATAAAAATGTCGAAAAAATATATACTTAAAATAACCGTTTTCAACTTTTTGAGTAGCCTTGTCATAATAAGCAGTGAAACCACAAAACAATTTCAGAGCTTATACAAATAAATTATTTATTATCATTTTCATGGTTTAATGACATTGGTTCTCCTTTCCTAATAATGTTACATATAACACCGTTAACAAGCATCTTCACATACTTATGTATAGCAATATATCCTTATCACCTGCATATTTGGTTATATGTCTTAGTTGATTGGTATGCAGAAGCATGATCAACGTACAAAAAATGTCTAAAACAAGATAAGTTATTGACAAACAAAATGATGAAACAAGAGTATCAGCACTCTCGTTTAAGGAGGCTAGGGGGTCAACTAATTATGTTTTTATTAAGCACCAGATATAACTTAAATTTTGGAATACGATATCTTAAGCTGTCAATTATCATTTGGCAAAGAAAAAATTAATAAATTTTAGCTTTAAAATTTGATCATTTTATTATATCTGTATATGGAGCTCTTCTTCTAATGGAGATAAAAATAGTCTACAAATGGCCACGACCACCCAGCCCCCTTAAACTCGCCATTTCGCAAGCTCTATGATCGATACAATGACATTGTCCGCAGATACAATCTATCGGTAAATCATATGCTGCATGATGACGTTTTTCATACAAATCGTTCTAGACTATCATTTACAAGCTGAATTGTTCTACGGATTTTCCCGTTGTTTTCCGATTTTGATAAGGAGCACATAGCGGGTGTGACCTGTCGGCAGGGGATGCTGTGGCACCTGATCCCACTTCTAAAATTTCAAAGGTAGATGTTTACTCCGCTCCTGATTTGTATTCTCTGAATACTGTTTTGTTATCTCCATATTTCATCATCGCTTAACCGTAAAAGCTCTAGATACAAGCTCTAAATATATACAAGTGCACATCAAAATTATCTAATATGATGTCCAAAAAAAGTATTTCGGATATGATTAGTGGGTGGGTACCCCAATCTAGCATAAAATCATAATAGTCAAGTCAAGCGAGGTACAGGAAAGGGAATATCAGTATTTCCGGATTTGGTCAATTAATGACAAATTTGAGAGAGAACTATTGCAATACAATACGTATAATAAATGGGGATAATTCAGAGTGAAAATGTCCGTAAATCACCTAAAACTGCTAAAAGAATCACTAGTTAAGAGAAAATATTTTTTTTATTTCTCAAATTTTTGATGATGATTCAAAAGCATTACTTGAAGAACCATTAACTTAATCCATTAGTTCATATTTCTAAAGTCCTAAAGTGTTATGGAAGCGCGGTTAATAGAGAACCAAAAGTATGGGTGCTTTTAATAAAACTGACCAAAAAAAGTCATCGAATCCATAGCACCGATAGACTTGTTTTGGTTCAGCAAAGTCCATCTTTGATTTAAAATCCTCATCGAATGATGATGACGCACTTTGTCATACAGGGTTCACAAAGACATCTAATCATTTGGAACAGGAGCTAGCGAGCTTACATTGCCTTCTAATGTTTCCATTTCCTGTTCTCAGATTCGGCTTGGTCTGGGGCCATTAGCTAACAAAGAAGGGTCTTTCTTTCGGTGCCCATGGGATTGATGACGTCAAATTCTATTGCTTCCGGATAAACGCTGAAGAGGAGCCAGCAATAAGGAAGTACTGTACTAGTTATTTGTTTCTATTTGTCAACTTATAAAACGTTTTTATTTTAAATAAGGAATTTAGTATTTCGGTCGATTTGAACCATTGATGCTTCACGTGAAAGCTTGTCTTCAATTTAATTTGCATTCCAACATTCCACATATTTGATTTCTGTTTTTATAAACAATAATGAAAGATTAGCAAAGGAATGATTTGTAAATCAAAATAGAACTGAAGTAAAATCAGGTAGCATACGAAATGGATGATGTGTATAATACAGCATATATACTCAATTCAATTGTGAAGTGAAACATAGAGACGAATAGAAATAAAGCTCAAAAATGCATTGAATTGAATATATTGTCCTAAGTCATCTACGAAACTTTACAGAAGAAAAGAGATATGTGATTCCAATAATTGGTATATGGTCAGAGATGGTCCGAGAAAATAACTCTTACATGATATCAGAAATACAATAAAACATAGCCGATTAATCGTACTAATGTCAGTAAGAACACTCTATTAACATGAAAATAACACATCAGGCCATCCTTAAAAAAATATTTGTTTGGAATTGCCGCTTGAAGGGTTTTAGACACAGGAGGGAGGGAGGGAAATTTTTTTTTTTTTTAATTTAAGATAAATTTTAAATTTTCGATAAAAATCTCAGTAAACAGTAAGGCTAACATGAAAATAACACAAAAAACCCCTAATTTTACATACATGTAGATCTGACACTATATTTCAATGTTTTGTATTGGTGCAAGTGATACATGTAATGGGCAAAAATAACCTGATTAAATAAAAAAAAAATCTACCTACTTTTGGTCAATAAATTTTTTTCAGGAGGGGGGCATTTCAATGACTTCCAAACAAACTATAATTTTATTTTGCTGGTAAATAAAGAAAATAGACTTGCTGGTTAGATCTGGTTTAAGATTTCTTGTCGTCCATCTCATTTGCAAAATAACTTGTAGAGAAAATATCATTTCACATTGTACTCTTACAGCATTCGCTTGTCTTATAGTACATGCTGAAATTTCCTTAATTTCAAACGCTTGGTTGATGTTTGATAACGATCATATCACACTATGTCGAGTTTTCATTAAAATGTCCAGTCTGTATGGATCCCAAAACATTCTGGTTGCATAACAATTGACCTATGGCAACAAAAGGGGAATTCCACTAAGACAATTGTTCAATTTTGGTCAATGCCAGAACGAATTGGCACTAAAAGAGGTCAGACTACCACGTAATGTGTTCATTCAGAGGAGCTAAATGATTTTCCCCATTATTTATTTCCATATCCACTGACTTATAAGATGAATGAAATTTTTAAAACTGGGCTAAGAGTAGTTTACAACAAAGAATTCGACTAAATCTAGTAGGGCTTG